AGAAGCACATCTGAAAGCGCCACGCGATGTCCGGCGTTTCACTCCGCATGCTGGGAGCATCTTCAGGAGCTGAATTCGTTGTTGAAAAAAGCTCGAGGCAGTTCCGTTCCCGAATAATTCGGAACAGTTCCTGAAGAACATTCAGTTTCTCAAGAAGCTCCCAGCACGTGCAGCGCAAATGCACCAGACATCGTGACAAACGACGCTCGGCACAGCCCGAAATCACAAATCACATGGGAGAGCGATCTCAAATGCTTTCCGATGGAAATATGATCCCTCTTGCAGGAGTCATGGCATCTATTTTGTTACATCAGAGAGGTTACGCAACATTTCCATGGTTAATAAAATGCGGTGGCTGAAGCGGGGGGGGGGGGGGGTCCCCACTTCATGACTCGGAGACAGAACGTCAACAACCTGGACTTTGGGGGGTGATTGCAGCGATGACCGTGTGTTGTCTTGGTGTGGTCCGGGACTATTTTTGCTGTTGTTTTACTGCCTTTTTCCGAGCTTGGGAATTGATGTACTTATGCGATTTGTACTTATACACTTTTATTTATTTAAGGGACACCACGGTGGTGTGATGCTATCTTCCTCGCCTAGTATGCTGGAGGTCGAGGGTTCGATCCAGACCCTGACGCCTGTATATTTGGATTTTGCATGTTCTCCCTGTGGCTGTGTGGATTTCTTCTCTGAGTTCTCCGGTTTTTCTCTCCACATTTAGAAACATGGTTTTATATGATTTAGATTGTTTGACTACAATAAATGTCCACGTGACAAGCCAATTCATTGGGTTATAATTTCTGGCCAGATCGCTTCTGCAAAGGAAGAAAATAGCTCAGTAGGCCTTATCTGGTAAAATAAAAAATACCTTTTTGTGTGATTTGTTTACCTTTCCTATACTTTGGACCCCTATCGTGTTTTGTATTGTGTGTTGTTGTTACTTTCTGACTTGCCGATACTGGACATGTGTGAAAGAAAGCTTTATAGATGATCGGATTTCTAAAGTTTAAATACAAATTCTGATTTTGACCGCACTGCGATATGTGGCCTTGAGATATGTGGGCAGCAATTTTGCTGTTCGCTGCTGGGCTGAGATGTAAAGGTGTTGCTTACCAGCAACCTCGTTGGCTTGTGGAGCCTGAAAGCTGAGAGGCAGTTATACACAAAATTTGAGTTATTAGCTCAGACATTTAAATCGATGACCAGGACTCATCCCATCATTCTAATGATCAATGTTGCTTTGGAGCAATATGGGTAAAAGCATACACACGTAGAATTGCAGACTGTGTTTATACATTTAAATATGAATATCGTATTATCCCATCAGCCATTTAACATTCTAGATGATTATTATCTGGCAGCAATGCATAATGAGTTTGTATAGAATACTGCATTTTTGAATTAACAAGGCACCATAGTTCAGACGAAGTGTTTTGCCAATAACATCTGGTAACCCAGCAGCATTTGTTGAACAAGCCTGACTGCTGATGAGACCCAGAAGGTCAGGATTAGTCCACCGTTTGTCTTGCTTAAACAAGTGCCGGTGTGGATAATGTCGGTCTCGAAAGCCAATAGGCTAATGGACTAAACATGCAATTTTTAAATATATGTGGAGACAGAAGGGCATTTGGACCTATATTTACTTTTTAATGAGCGGCCCTGCTCACAGTAGACGCTGCCGCAGGCAGTTGCCGGAAGAAAAGAAAGATCCATCGCACTGGGTGGGGAGGGGGCAGACCAGTTGATCGGTCACCATCGCGCGTGCAACCTCTTGGCGGAGCAGCAGTTTCGAGGCATCGCGTGTGCCGCGCGCACGATGTGTGTCTACAGAGGAGAGGCTACGCCCCAGAGGGGGGGGGTGATGTAACGTAGAATATATTTTTTTTTCATGTGACAAAGCTTGGCCGTGTCGGGCGGTGGCGGGTTTAACGACACATTCATGCGTACGCGATCCAACCCCAACCCGAAACACGTTTTCTCTATTATGAATTTTGTGTGCGCACGTTTTGATTTTATTTATCTCAATAGAAAACCCTCCTTGAGAGCCGGGGTGTTTGAGAGCGCTTCACCAGGTGATACAAAAAAAACGACTGACGTCACTTCTCATCTCAAAAGTTAATTGATCATCACAACCGGTGGCAGTTGCTGCCCACCCCATCCCCCTTTGTTTGAGGTGACTTGGCAGCAGGTCTGCTCATGCGTTTGCGTCTGCGAATAAGGGGGCAAAAGTGTATATTTGTAACCACCATCACCACCAGCTCAGCCGAGCGATGAACTCAGTCGCAACTCTTTCCTGTCCAAATACTGTTATTGCCATTGTTATAGATTGTTATACTGTACAACGATTATTATATTCTTAGCTCTTTCGGTAAAGTCACGTTGAAGGGAAACAACAAAACAATAAAATATATATAAAACAAAAAAAATTCTCACGACGTTTCGACCATAACACAAACGGTCGTCATCACACCTGATGTTGTTTCCCTTCAACGTGACTTTACCGAAAGAGCTAAGAATATGAATTACTGCAGTCACGAAAGCTTTAAATCAAAATTTGTACAACGATTGTTAGTCCTCCTCAGTGCACTGCAGTGTCTAATAACTCGACTAAATTACTTTAGCCTGCGCTTTCATTCAGACACGATGATTCACCTTGGCGCAGTCAGTCACGCTTCCGACCTTTATTCGGGTAGGCATTGTCACGCTTGATGATTTTGGTTCATGCATAGTCATCGTTGACATGAACCATCACGCAAACTACAGTCATCCTCGCAGCGGCTTTTGGAAAACGAGCGAACAAAGACAGTCACCGCATCGCACGCTTTCAGAGGTGCTTCTGCGGCCGTCTGGAACGCTCTTCCCTCCGATATGAGGAAGCCACTGGAGCTATGCCACTTTTAATTCATCTGGATTCAAAACTAATTTCTTTAGAACTGCTTTTCATGTTTAATTTGTTGTCCTTCCCCCCACACCTCCGATTAGCACGGTCGAGTATGTACGGCGTGAAAGAAGTTCAACATACACACGTACATACGTGCGTGCACCACTCGCTCTGACATTTGGTTCAGGGAACGTGACCGTTGACAGAAAGGTACAGAACAAAAGCTGAGAGATGCCGACAGTCAAAATGACACTGAGACAGGAAGGCGAACACGCGCATTGGAGAACACACGCAGGGTTACTGACGTTATTCAAGCTGTTCAGAAAAGTAAGTGGACTTAGGCCGGACACGTCGCTGGAAAGCATGATGGACGATGGTCAAGAACAACAGCGGAGTGGCAACCAAGGAATGGAACGAATCCGCGAGTAAATGCCCTTCTATTACAGGGCTTCCGATTAAAAGTCCTGGGAAAATTCGATGTAATGTATTCTTACAAAGAACCTGAAAATGACAGTCAAAACAAATGAAATTGCATTGCCGCTGTGCTGGTGGAACGAATCCGAGAGTACGTCCGGCCAGGAGATGGAGCAATGGCATTAGCTCGTGATGTGCAGGTGCTGGGTTTTATTTGTTGCATCGCGTCATTGTGTGAGGTGGCTGGGGCTTTGGCGGAGCCCTGAATCCAGCAGTGGATTAACCGTGACTGATGATAATGATGGCATCCCTTTGAAATAGTGACTCACAGTGCCTGTGCAAACCTGCCTTTGAAAACTTTGCGAAAAGCTGCCTGGCTGTCCATAGAAATCAAAGGAAGAGCCTGTTTGTCTCTCCACAGTAAATGTTCCCGTTTGGTGCTGTAATTGCAAATGTAAATGCTCTTCAATTACAGGGCTTTCTATTAAACGTGCTGGGAAAATGTTATCTAATGTATTTTTACAAATAACCTTAAAATGCCACTAAAAAACAAATTGTATTGCATTCCCGCTGTCCTGGTGATCGCAGCATTGAATTCAAATGAACAGATTTTGCCTAAATCGAGTGTGTATGCTTTCAGATGGCCGTTCCCCTATTATATTGCCAGTTTCCTAAATTCTGCTTAGCCCACTCTGCAAACCGCATTGCCTTGCTGCAAGCATTTCAATTAGCAATCTCGTCATCGGCATTAATTTGCAAAATGCACCACTATCAAACATTATTGAACTGCACTATCAGCATGATATCAGTATTACGTTGCAATATGCATCATCATCATCATTAGTGTCGAGTCACAAAACTAATTATCACCCTTACAAAATGCAATTAATACTCACTATCAACATGATGCCAGAATTAAGTTGCAAAATGCATATAATATTGTACGTGAATCTTCTTAACTCTGTTGATAATAAAAACTACACAGTAATGCTTTCATTTTTGAATTAAAGCTTTTGTTTTATATTTTTTATTATTTTATTGTTTCCCTTTACCGAAATAACCAAGAATATTAATGTTTTAGTTTTAATCTTTTTTACGAGTGTATTTCATTGAATATGCGTAGGATTTATTAAGCGTGTTTGGGAGGGAAACTTGGGAAAATGTGTTCATAAAACCAGGGATATCAGTCACATTCAGACCGGTTATATGACATACACTAACTTATTCATTGACCTGCAGAAGAATGTCTCCTACACATTGTGGTTCCATCTTTGTGCGATCCACCAACCCTCCAAATTGATTCATTACAAACTTTCCTTTGCGATTACGAATGCCACATCTGTACGTATGTATGTTGAAACTTCTTCCGCGCCGTGCATAGCCAACCGTGCTAATCGGAGGTGCGGCAGAAGGACACCAAGGGTGCCACGTGTCCCCTGATGTTCCCATCTTGGTTCCCTTTTTAAAAGCAGCTGTCTCAGGTAATGTGCAAGCCTTCTCAGGAATTTCAAAGTCCTGTTTGTTTGTCCATGCATACAAATACACCACTCAAGACAACACCACATTTTCATGTAGCTCTCCACTTCTGGTTTCGTGAGATAGTATCGTCCCCGTGGTAAGTCCCCAATTGTTTTGTGTCTCTCGGAGGTGGCAACCCTACTACACCCGACGTGGCGAAGCTGAGCAATAGTCGACAGTTACTCACCCATGGCGTTCAGGTTGAGCAAGAAGACTCCAAATGCACTGCCGCTGGCACTATCCAGGCACATGTAGAAGGGGTGATGTCCATAGAGGTTGTGCGTGCCCTGCGGAACGGAAGGAAAAGGGACGGTGTAATTAGAGGGCACGGCTGAAATGCGTGAAGGTCAGAGGCATGGAGCCCGTCAGTCAAGTGGCAGCCACATTGAAATTTGTCCCGCATTGACGGGCGCTGATGTCGAGTCGGGCGTAGAGATGCGTACACAGATGCGAGGAAGTGGAAAATAAAATGTAAGCAGTGTCTCACTCCGTTGAGTGTGCGATGGCATTCGTCAAATTCCACATTCTTATCGGCATGGTTGAGTATGTCCATAATACAGCTGCTGTTGACTTCCCCACAGAATAGTACGCATTGTATCCACCCGTAACTGGGATTTAAACTCACAAAACATGGATTGCGAGCATCACAATCTACCACTGTACACACACGCCCAAAAGGATACAAGGTGCACACGTATAGCTTGTTTTTTGTCGATCCTTTGCTGGATCAGGCCTGCCCATGCATTACAGACTGAGATGGTTGTTTTACCATACTTCACCACGCTGGTCAGTGTGGGTTGATTAAGGTGAAGGGAAGTGCAGAACAAGAATAGATTTTGCTTCACTGCCACCTACTGCACCTGCATCTTGTGTGCACATTGTGGTCACTCATCCTCGCGCTATCCAGGCTCAACCCCATTATGAAATCAGATGCGATCGGACGCTTTCCGCGTGATTTATTCATAGGCTTGAAACCAAACCAAGAAGTGCCATATATATTTCATAATGTTTTATAACACCGGCTGAAATAATTTAACCGTTATGGATTACGCCATTAAATATCTGAATTCTGCAGCTGATGGTGCCACTGAATATGCCCTGCAACACTTTCAGATTTGTAAGAAAGCATCTCACCAAACGTTTTTAGGATGTTACGGCACCCACAAGCATCTATTTTGAATTCTCACCACTTTATTTGTTTTGTTTCATATCATTCCAAGTTGAAATTTGTTCATTGTTTTCTATACAGTTTAACACGTAGGCTTTCGCGACCAATATCATCCATAATAGAGGTTTTTGTGTTAGATCGCTTAAATATAAATGTGCCGTTAAACCCACTACCACCCAACACCGCCAATTAGTAAGGTTTGTCACGTAAACAAAACGTGCCAATTCGTTACTAGCTCAACACACCGGACAATTCTGGCTGTTGCCTGATGCTAATTTTAATTACTGGTGAAACGTCGTACTCAAATTGTAATTGTTGTGGGTTTACTCTCCAACACACCGGCGTGCTGCAATTATGATTATTTGCATTTAAGTTGCGTGGTTCTACAATCATATGTATGTCTTTGTAACCCGGGTCCCTCTTTATAAATGCATACATTTAGTACCAATCAAAGCTGGGGTGATGATTTTGTTAATTAAGTAAATGTATTGGTTAATAATTATGATCGACTACTTTTTGGAGTCAATTTCTAACGGTCCTTTAAAAATGACTGCCTTCCGAAGGCAGGAAACCCCGCGACAAGCCAAGCCCAGTGCGATGCGGCTGATGATGTTGATGTCAAGAGCCCCGCCCATCACCTTTCGTCCAGTGGCACACGTGAGAGCACAGCTGAGACTTTTTTTTGGTAACTATATTAGTGTTTCTGATTAGTTGGGTAATGCAATGGATCAATCGGTAGAGTTATAGAGATACCATCTAGGCAACGCGGTTATCTCCCTCGCCTGCTAGGCCAGAGGGTCGTGGGTTCGATTCCGACCCTGACACCTGTATATTTAGAGTTTGCATGTTCTCCCCGTGGTCACGTAGATTTTTATCCGGGTCCTCCGGTTTTTTTCACCACATTTAGAATCAGCAACACGCATTTAGAGTGTTTGGCTGCTATGAAGTTCCACACGATGATAAGCCACTTCGTTGAGCTATCATTCATGACCAGGTCGCTTCTGAAAAAGAGCTACACAGCCCAGTGGGCCTTACCTGCTGAAATAAAATAGTTTGGATGTAGTTTAGTTTTAAATAGTTTATCGTTCAGATCAAATTGCAATGGGCTCCCACCAAGTTGAAAATAAAGCATGCACACATGCGTGTTTATGTATTTACTTCAAATACGCTCACACATGGACGGCATTATGTGGTGGAAGCGAACATTACATAGCCAAAAGCATAAAGCGCAGAAATAGTGGAGCAATAAAACAATGAAGGGTAGACAAGAGCAGAGACTTATTGTCACCATAATGTGGATCAGGACCAAGTCTGCCCATTGCACAACTGCTATAATAATTATTTCATTTTATATAGCGTCATTCATGCAATTGCATCCCACAACGCTGCCACACCAATTAGCCAGTCCCGTACACAGATTATACAAAAAAAAAACCCACAACTTAGCAAATCAACACGAAGAAAGATACTCAAATAACGAGAAAAAAATATGCACATTCCAAGAAAAAAAATCATCACGGAGAAAATAAATTACAATCAACAAATCCGTTCAGTCTCCACACCTCCAGGCCACAATCCCAACATTTCGCCGGATCTTGCAGAACCTTCACAGGAGGGGTGGTGGAGTGGCCAAACAGTTATGAGCCAGTTCGACCATAATATACTGTAAATGCCTATTTGCCACCATACACATGAGCAAATAAATAGACTTCCCAATAAAGCAGTGCTCACTTTGTTGACTTTGGGGCTAGGTTGAATTCAAATTGGGATTTGAACTCACAGTCAGCTGATTGTGAGCAGCACACTGTAGCCACTGGAGTAAAACAATATATATCGTTTTATAATTATGGATACAAATGGACTGAGGAGTGTAATCTGCACTTTGAGTTTTTCAGTAATGCGCACCACTTCCAAACTTCATTTGCTGAGATTACCGTGCGGGGGGAAAAGTGGTGGAATGCATTAGGAAATTATTGGCTATGCTGATAATTAATTAGGGTATGAGTTTATATATGCACACCTAAAAAAGGTTAAAAAGTCAAAAAGTTAAAGTTTTTGGCTGGGCTGCTTGCACTGACTGGCTTAGGGGTGGGATGCCAAAAATCTAAGAGCATTTGTCATATTTCAAAAGCGTATACTTTTGGCAGACTCTTATTTGCACTCAGCGCGGATTTTAATCATACAAATTTACGTCCAGCATAGGGATAGCTTCTAGTGTAGCACATGATGGACGCTCAGTCAGAAGGGACATTGTGTACAGCATTAATGATGTCCTGACAAAGCACCCTCCCAAAGCAGCCCCTTGGTTCATTGCCAAATACTAGATTGCAAATTCGACGCTATAGTCCAAATGGACATAGATTATTGCAGAGGCCGAATGGGTAAAATGAGTGTACTTATTCCCCTTTCTAAAATCGTGGTGGTTTAATCGTGGAAAAAAAAAAGTTCAGTCAACAATGGGGGGTAAAAAAAACTAGAAAGGGTAAAGTTGCTGCCATGGAATGTTGTACTCGTGCCACCGCTGGCAGAAAGGGACTCTACGAAAGAGTGAAAAAGAACAATGGAGAAAGCCCATCTAGAGGGTGATTTGGTCTACTCTTCTACACAGGCCATGCATGTTGGAAGGGGTGGAAGGTGCACACGATTTAGCTCGTCGCACGCAGCCAACATTATGTTCCTGGTGTCAAATAGCTTATCACAGCTTCCTATCAGATGATGATGAATTGCAACACAGCATGTGATTCGAACAGATGCACAAAAAGCCAAATTTTTCAAGAACAATACAGTCTTGGATCCGGATAATAATAATACATTTCAGCTTCATATGACGTAATTCACGCTAATTGCATCTCACAATGCTGCAGATATTAATTAGTACACATAATTACATTCAGGGCTAAATCCTATTTACATCAATTTTTCTATAAATTAAGAAATCAACAAATGGGATTAAAACAAAATGGATAAACAACAATCAAAAGTTAACACGAGAATGCTTGAATCATTGGTATGTTTTAGGTATAAGGGAAATTATGCTAATATTACAATTCTCCGTAATGACATCCTTAAAAAAAGAGTTAGTCCCCCTAGCAACGAACAATTTATATGATTGGTCAACATAGATGAAGGATTAAACATATTTAAACTATAAATCGTACTGTAACCTTATAGGAGTCGGCATTTACTGATCCGTTTGTTTAAAAAGGTTTCAATCAATGAAATATGCCACGGAGTGTTCTATTTACTGGAGTCAGTCAACAAGGGTTTATCTTTAAAATGTCCAAAACAGTTAACAATAAATTAACTTCACCGCGCAGCTTGGATGTCTTTTCAATTTCCATTTGTATTCTTTTGCAAGTGCACTTTTAAATGAGTGCCAGTGAAGCCTCACTATCCAAGAACCTCTTTCGGAAATAAATTGAACTCTCCATCAAAATCTCTCTTTTAAGACATTCCACGGGTTTACCAAAAACAGCATTAACACACACACATCCCTGGCCAAGTGAATGACCTTTATAATTCAGACTGTGCACAAATGTGGTGGGAATTACCTTGGAAGTAGTCCTAACTTGCAATGATTCAAATGGCACGAAATTATACTTGACTGTCAACTTTGCATTATCGCGCTTTGCTTCGTTTGGATTCTTTGCATTGCAATAGGGAAATCGCACCTCCACCCTTTCCCCAACCAATGCCAAGGTACCGTCAGCATTCATCATTGAATGTCATAGTGCACATCACGGAGGGGGGGGGAAATTTGTCCTCCACATGTACGGCGACGGAGACGAGAATGCGACGTTTCCCCACTCTGGTAATGGGACAAAGGACCTCAAGCCAATGAGCGTTGCCCTGCATGCGCTAAGCTCCATAAAACTTAATCGACTGTCAGCGCAATTGAAGAGTGCGATTGAACCCATCGCCCATCATCAAGTGTCACGTCCCACGCTCGACATCGACTTGGAGTTGCACCCGACGATGCTGGGTGGACGATGATGCAACATCTCGCCACCGAGCCTGGTATTGTGGACCTCCGATGCTCACGCCGTCGCTTCGGACGCCCGAACGCCGATCGTCTCGATGACCTCCCCGGTTTCAGAAGCAGGAATCGTCGAGTCGTCA